GATCTTCTGAGGTCCCTTCCAGCACTAATGTCTATGAAATATAGATCTGTCTGTCTGTCTAGAGAGATACATTATATATAGAAAGATTGTGTGTAGCAAAGGTGCATGTGTGTGTATAGATATCTACACAGAGAGACAGATGTGTGTGTGTGTGTGTGTATATGAGACAGAGACAGAGAGAGAGAGAGAGAGAGAGAGGCAGAGAGAGGTTGTGTGTGGGTGCATGTATGTATATATCAATATATCTATACATTTTGGTTACACAATTATGTGCTGATAGCATTAAAACACAGGTGTAATGTGTATATAAAAGAGAGATTTACAGTATATCAGTTTAGCACATGTTTAATGTTTCACGAATGATTAAAAAATATTGAAATGTTTTGTGTCGGCCTACTGCTTTATTTTAATTGCAAGAATCACTAATGGTATTCTCAGACTCATACTCAAGGCTATAGGTATGGCCTGTATTTTTCTTATAGTAGTTTACCGTAGTCTAGGTACAACGTAAAATGTGTATTTAGAAAAATAATTAAACAAGAGTCTGCATGACCACTGAACTAAACATCATTCCTTTCACGTTAGCATACATTTATGGCAATCCCATGCATCTGAGTAATTTTCGTAGGGTAATTGTTTTATTCAGTTCTGTGTGTGGAAAAACTGAGTAGTTAATTTCAACATAGCATGTTTTGCTTTATTTATTAATGCACCATGTAAGCATTTAATGGTTCTATTTATTAATGCTTTTTGCTACATTTATGTTTGTAATGGGACATGGGGGACCTCCAATTTTCTCTTTGCCCAGGACCCCAGTAAATCTTAATCTGCCACTGCCCCCTTATCTCCTCATGTTTTCTGCAGCACCCTTTCTAAGGATCTCATAGCACCCTTGTTGAGGATTACTGGTCTAAAGTCCAAGGAGGCAATGTCCCATTGACAGTCAATGGGGTTATGAAAAGCATGTTTAGATTTCCCAAGTGCTTTTGAGGAGGATCACACTTGAACCCACCCTGTCTCCCTTGACTCTTACTCATGCACCAACCCCAAAGTCACTCCAGTAGGTACGCCCTGTATATCTGCTCTCAGGCAAGCCAAAAGCAAAGAGCTGGGGAGCACCTGTTAGAGAACACCCCCGTAGCACCTTCACTATCACATTCTACTTTCTGTGCTCATACCTTGGGGACAGGGCGTTTACACAATTCCCACATTTAATAAATGTGTATTATTATCTGTAGTGTTCTGTTTTACCATCTGTTTTTCCTATTGCTCAGCTATCTGTTGTCACACTAAGCCCTTCAAACATTATGCTCTCTTCAAACTATATTTTTTAAATTCTGATTTAAGGGAATACTGTGCTTTAAGACTTCTTTGTATCCTAGAAAGTGTGTTGAGTTGCTGCAAGTTAGATTACCAGCCCACATAATCGGTGAAGAGCTGACTTCATCTTTTGTGCTTTCCTACATTCTCCTGGAACTCCCAATTTAGTCTAAGCCTTCTTTTTTCCATTATATTTTTAAATAATTGTTCCCACTTTTTGGTATATTTTCTTCCCATTAAAGTAAACTGCAACTTATGAACTAAACAAAACATTTAGTGATGCAATAGACTTTTATTATGCAAAGCAGGAAGCAAATCAATAATTTATTCATTCTTAATGATTCTCCCACTGATGTGAAAAACCGAATTTCTACTGTAATAAAAATATCCAGCCTTTCTAAATTACAGTTGCAGTCTTTGATTCTGTGACCTTTTGGAAGTATAGCTGGCTACACACCTGGTAGATTTTTCATGTGCTTACCTGCCATTTATAAATCTAAATGTTTTACTTGAAGGCAGGTAGTTTTTGTTCTAATCTTTCATGAGAGCCTTCTTTCACAAACTAATCTTAAGAAAGCTCAATTTAAATAGCATTTGAGTCATAACATCAACTGTGAAAATTAAAAAAACTCAAAGCTGAGCACAAATACTCACTTTAATTTTTGAAGACCCTGAACTTCAGCTTGTTACAAAACCACATACTATCAAAACCTTTCTCTAGCATTGTTGTAGCTCCTTTTTCCACCTGATGTTCTTGGTCCTGTAGAGAGCTCTATACAGACACAGCCCCAATGATTCAAGGCTTCTTATGCATGAAAAGGGGACTAACCTGAAAGAAACCTTACTCCAGGGTCAGGGACTGTACTTGTTTTTAATCACCTTACCCTAGCAAATTTAGTTCTTAATCAAAACTATAGAGAACATCAAGGTCTAGCAGGAAGAACAAACTTTCCACACAGTTCAACAGAATGAATACTCACATTTTCTTGAACTTGAATAGACCAATCTCCAAGTGGGGGGCTTGTTGATAATTGAAAGTTTTTGGAAACCACACCCAAATCACCTTTCTCTGCCAACCACTGCTGAATCAAATTCCCTCGAGGGTCCTAAAATAAAGTCCATTTTGTATATGAGTGCTGCAAGAGTATGACTTAGCACGAAAATCGGATGACTATACTTTGCCATATGTTCAGACTTTAAACACTGATTCCAGCTTACTACTACATTCCCAGTACACTCACCCGGATGTATATGCTTAATAAAGCTCTATAGGGTTTGAGATCAGGATAGATGGTCACAATCCGAAACTTCACTTCTTGCCCTGGTTTATAGAAAGACTTGTCAGTCTGGATGAAGACAGAAATACTCTTGGACTCAAATAACAGTTTGGTCCTGTTAGAGAATATGTGACGGCCCTCAGCATGCCCTTCCACCAGTAACACATAATCTCCAGAAGCACTGTTCAAAGGCAGCTGAAAAGAAAACAGTAATTCAGTGTTACACCCTCACAGGCAGTAACTTGCAAACATGAAAAGAGAGCTTGTTTCATAAACATTTGTCTTGTTATTCTCAGACATTTTCCTAAACTTGTCAATTAAGTTCACAAAGAATTAAACAAGATTTCAGTGCAAATGCAGTGCTACACCTTTGAATATGGCACAGCTCTATGAAAAATCCTCTTTTCAGATAATGTTGTACCAAATATATCCAGCTAAGATTTTAATCAGAGTCTTTGGAAAGTTTGCAACTATTGGCTCACTGTAGCCAAAAGTAATCTCATCAACTGCACCCTCAAAAACATCTCTGTAGGCTGACTCAGATATACAGCCAATTGGATTACTTGTTTTTACAGGGGTATAGGTTATAGCCATGTTGGCCTAAGGACACAGGTAGCAGAAGGAGGGGCTAACAGGGTTCAGCCCCCCCAAACACCAGGCAGCAGCAGGCATTGCATTAGGGAAGCCTGGCCACAGGGTCCTGCAGCAGGGGGAAAAGGGTAGGAACACTGAACTACCCTGCACACTCACAGCCAGGATCGCAGCCAACCCAGCCACAGGCAGGTACATTTATTTTAATGTCTTTCTTATTTCCATGGGCTTGGGGGAGGGCAGATCAAGAACCCCACAGTACAGGAGAGAGTGGGGTAGGGGAAGGACAAATCATTCACCCCTGCCCCAACCCACTCCTTCCTGTACCGTGGGGATTGTCCCATGACCTGGCCCGGTCAGTGGCGGGCCATGGGACAATCAGAGCCCAGCACCTCCTCCAGAGGTGTGGTGCCAGGCAGCCAAGGGCAGGAGGACACGTGGGCCCCCGATCTTGGCACGGGCAAGGGCAGGCCACAGCTGCGACCTGGGCTCAGCCTCTGCTCCATGTCTCTGTGCCTCATTGCCACTGCTTTCAAAGCAGCTGACGCTGCCATGTGCCTCACTGCCCAGCCCTGAGACACATGGCAGCACCCGCTACTTTCGAAATGGTGGCAGTGAGGTGTAGAGACACAGAGCAAAGGCTGAGCCCAGGCCACACCTGCAGCCTACCCTTGCACGTGCAAAGATCAAGGGGCCACATGCCTCCCCCCTCCCCCCCTGGCTGCCCAGCGCTGCACCTCTGGAGGAGCCACTGGGCTCTTCCTGGGGACAACGCAGGGCAGAGCAAGGTTGGCACAGGGGTCCTGGGGGCTCCATCCACTCCAGCCCAACAGTGCAGGTGAGACTGGCCCTGCTCCGGCTGCCAGCTCTGGGTCCCCCCAGCCAGTGCACAGCCAGGGCCAGGAGGCAGCCAGAGCCAGGAGGCAGCTGGGGCCGGGGCCGGGACTGGGGCCAGGGCAGCTGGGAAGTGGCCAAAGGCAGCATGGCCAGTGCTACTGCGGCTGGAAGGCAGCCATGACTGGTGCACCGAGAGCCAGGAGGCAGCTGTGGCCAGCGCAACATCAAGGGCTTATGTGGTCAGGGCTAGGAGGGGGCCGGGGGCAGGGCAGTGGCCGGGGGCAAGGCAATGCCACTCCCCCTTGGCCCTTTCCCCTCCCCCCTCAGACTTCCCCATGTGGGGGCCATATGTGCGTGCATGCACACATGCACGCTCAGCCTCCCCTCCCCCCCAAAAACGTTCTTCCTCCGCCTAT